ATTGACAACCTGATCAATGAATTACAAAACTCTGATAGCAAGAAGCTTAAGACCATGTGTTTTGAAATGAAAGAGACCTTGGGATTAATCTTATTCAACCCCTGAATTTTCCAAATGATGTAGAAGGAGCCCAAAGAGGTTGAAAGCTTTGCCTGAAGTCACACAGATAGTAAGTGGAAAAAAGAGATTCTCTGCCCCAGGTCTTTTGAGTCCAGAGCCAGATGTGTTTTGACCACTTAATGGCTCCGCAATGATGGGCTGCTCAACACATTCCAGATTAAAAGAATACACTCCTGAATCCTAAAGGCTCTGTTCAATATAAATTGAGGCTAATACTGTTGAGTACAAGCATCTCTTCTTCTACAGGTTTATCCTCTACTGTACTGTGTGCCACAGAGAGAAACATTCCTGGCATGTCGTCACTTTTCTGTCTTTTTAACCAGTATTGCCTTTTTGATGAGTACAGAGCCGGTTAATTTTCCATGAAATATCCAGGTTTATTTGTTTTGTACTTCATCAATACAACCTTTAAGCACTCATATTCAATTCATTGGAGTTACTGCTGCCCTGCACAAAGACGTACAATTGAAATTCTAGCTGGCATTTGAGGATGGTTCAAGGGTTACAGTAATTAAAACAAGTAAATTATGTCTTGCAATTAGCTGCATTTTGAGTTGTACACTAGCTGAGCTCACCGAAAGATTTGTAGTTGCTGAGACTCACATCTTTGAAGAGTTCAGGAATGTACTTCGGAGCTCCTTCCAGCCACAGATTTGTGCCGTAGTCATCTGATTTTGTCGGAGTCTGGAATGGCTGGCTTTGCTAGTTAGTACCTACCTTGTCATGTGACAACAGCAATTATCTTTCTTAGAATTGAATGCCATCTTTGCCGTGATTACCTTAAATTTTTTTCTTAGCCAATTAAGTAAAATTCTGTGACATTTCAATGATGGTTAATCACAACCAAACGCTCTAAATGTCAGGATGCATTGAAATTTTCCCTTCTAACTGATGAATCACTGAGTTAATTGTTGTTCATCATAGGGTTCTTGTCGTCATTATTATTATGGAAAACACTTTCATCATTCTTGCTAGTCAATAAAAAAGTTCTAGACAAACATGAAGAGAAGAGCTATAGCTCATCAAAGCATTTGAATGTAATTGCATTCTTCAGAATACTCAAACAGCGGATTACTATGTAGAATAATGTGGTCCCCGGCAGAGGAAAGTAATGTTAAAAAAAAATAAACAGCTTGCAACAGCCTCTTCTGCCCTTCTCCTTTCTTTCGATCTCTCTAGGGAAATAAATGTCCTTTTTTTCTTGAGAGAATTTTCCAGGGTATTTCTTTCCAAACAAGTCACATAAAAAAACCCTCCCTGAAGACTTCTTGGTTCACTGGCTTTTAAGAGTTGGCTAGTATCAAGGCCTGGTTGATCCAGCCCAAGGATGACCAGGACCCGCATTTGTTGTTGGTGTCAAGGCCATGCTGCTGTCTGAGACAGGGCAGTGGGTTTATACTATGTTTGCTCCCAGGTGACACAGGTAGCCAAACAGATGCCAAGTACCCTGAGAGCACATCTGTGTTCTACCTAGAACTTGGGATCTCTTTTTCCCAATATGGGCACTGTCATTGTTTGTCCTTCATTTTTGAGGAAAGCCGAGGACATCCCCAAAGTGATAAGCAGCCCTGAAAAGGGCTCAGCAAGCCCTCACATCACAGGGGCTAGTCCTCCCTGGAGACCCCATATGCCCCAATGTGGGCCCTAACTTCCTAGGAAAAGCAACTCCCTTTACCCATGCAATTCTGAAAGGCTTATTGTGAAGGGGCTGCAAGATTAAACTCTAATTAAAAGCTTCAGGTAGAAGGAAGAAGAATCATGGAAGTGAAAACCATTGGAGATTGTTTTGTAAACTAGTTAAAGCCTGTGATCTTGCCCAAGGCTAGGAACTTCCAGGAGTCTCTGTTGCCCTATAGTTTGAGTTCTTTCAGAGGACACACCATTATGTTCCATCTCTGCATCCATACCCAGAGGATGTTTTTGTCTAAACTTTCTTCAAGGGACACGTTTGCAGCTTTGAAAGAGGTGGCATGATCTTAGGACCAGAAACAAGCTGTCCCTGCTAGGGAAGCATTCTGCTTCAATTAAAACCATCGGGATGAGTTGTTGAGCCAATGGATTCTAAAGTCCCTTGAATAATATACCAATCAAACTTGCACCAGAACATCTTGTGAATTATGAAGTTTGGGCTCTAAAATGCAGAGAGGTTGATTTCTCATTTGAACAGCTGCCTTTCTGGCCCACTTGAGGTCCAAACATTCTCTTGTTTTACAAGCAAGGGCAGAGTTTCCATCCATCCAGAAATAGCCTCTTTGTATTTAATGTTAGGCACTTATTTATTTTTCTTAGATGAAATTTTATGTTAAAAGTCTTTCTCCATCCATATAATTGATGTCCATAGGGTTGGGCTTATTATCAGTCAGCACATATTTATTAAGCACTTACTCTTTGCCAGGCATTGGGCTAATATTTTCTTGTACACTACTTCCCTTCATGCCCTCTGAATTCCAGCCCAACTGGCCCCTTTGCTGTTCTCCATACTCAGCATCTCATCTCCCATTGCCATGTCTTTGCCCTTGCTGTCCCCTCATGCCTGGAATGTACTTCATGCTCACCTGTGTTTCTTGGAATCCATCCCTTGTTCAAGGGCTCAGCTTATGCACTACTTACTATAGGAAGCCTTCCCTTTCCCCCCTAGTTACTGTTCTCTCTCTCCTCCTCACTATTTAAAAGTATGCATATCATTTGTTTAAAAAATATTGTTTTTTTTAAAAAAAGTTTCCAAATGTATACTTCTCTGCTGTCCCTCTCAGAGATCCTTTACTTTGAACAAATAATAAAGGGGGGGGGCAAACAAAACAGTTCAGCCAAGTTAAGAAATATATCGAACTATCTGAGGTATGTACTGTTTTACACACATAGACCCCCATCTCTGCCAATACATCAGTAAAGTGCCTTCTCACATCTCTTACTTGGGCCAATTGGTCATCAGAATTTTGTGGAATTCAGTTGTGATCTGTTTTTTGTTGTTCTTTCCATTTACCTTGTTGTAGTCATAACATGAAGCTAGATGGCACAGCGGATAGAGTACTGGGCTTGGGACCAGGAAGACATCTTCATGAATTCAAATCCAGCCTTGGGTACCTACTAACTGTGTGACTCTGGGCAAGTCACTTAACCCTGTTTGGCACAGTTTCTTATCTGTAAAAATGACCTGGAAAAGGGAATGGCAAAGCACTCCAGTATCTCTGCCAAGAAAACCCTAAATGGGGTACGACTGAAAAACAATGGAATGACAACAGCCATTATATATAGGATATTGTTTTCTCAGTTCCATTTGCTTCACTGAGAATCACTTCATGTGCTTCTTCCCAGGCTTCTTTGTATTCACCATTTTCGTATTTCTTTTACCATAATAAGATCCTGCTACATTTATATCCCACAACGTGTTTAGCCATTTCCCAATCAATGGGCATCTACTTTGTTTCCAGTTCTTGGCTGGTAAAAAAAAAATGTGCTGCTCTAAATATTTTGGTGTGCACGGGGACTTTTTCTGTCATCTACCTCCTTGATCTATAAGCCTAGTAGTATTGCCATCTGTTTACATGTTTTATCCCCTTAGCAAAATACATTCCTTTTGAGGTCATAGACTTTCTCCCCCTCCTCTTTCTCCCCTTCCTTCCTTCCTTCCTTCTTTCCTTTTCTTGCTTTCACGTTTGTTTACTTTCTTGCTTTATCTCTTTTTTTTTATCGATAGTTCTTAAAACAGTGTCTTGCACATGGCAGATGCTTAATGAATGCTTTTGGGATTGAATTTGATTATATTCCTACGTGGTCATATTTTGAAGAGCTAACCATTAATTAATCCACAAGCATTTATTAAGTGTTTTTTGTTGTACCAGACACTATTCCAGCTGCTTAGGATTAAAAAAAATATTAAAACAATCTCTGTTTAAGAACTTACATTCTCATATTCTAAGACAGGAAAAAAAATCTTATCTATGTCTGGAATCAAGTCAGAAACTAAAATGAGAAGTTTTCAGATTCAATTCAATAAACGTTTATTAAATGCCTCCTATGTGAGAAATGGTGTAAGGTAGGTATACAACAGCAAAAGAGCTGGACTCAAAACCAGGAAGCCCTGAGTTCAAGTCCCACTTCTAATGCCTTCTGGTTGTTTGACCTTGGGCAAGCCCCTTAGCATTTCATTGCTCTGGAAGTTCTCTGAGGCCACAAGTTGTAGGACTGCAACTGATCTGTATTGCTAGAGGATGTTTCCTCATTGAAAATTCCTTATATCAAAGAAACCTCAGGCCAGGAAGCATTCTAGGGGCTGGAAATTCTGAAAGAAATGAACCCATCTCTTACTTTTAGGAGCTTACATTCTATGAAGGAAGGTTCAACTTCCAATAGTTATAACAACAACAATAATAATATTAACAATAACAATAATAATAGCTAATATTTATATATTGCCTACAATGTGTCAGGCACTGTGCCAAGCCCTTTATAATTATTATCTCACTTGACTCTCATAACAATCCTGGGAGGAAGTGGTATAATTTCCCCTATTTTATAGATGAGGAAACCAAGGCAGTCAGAGGCAAAGTGACTTGCCCAGGGTCACACAGTTAGTAAGTGTAGAGGGCACAATTTTAATTCAGTCTTCCTGACTCCAGGCCTGGTGCTCTATCCACTGGGTAACATGTTCTTCTTATCTCCCATTCCAGCTCTCTGATTAATTTTGTTGTTCATGTTCAATATCACCATGTGTCACATAGGACTTAGCATATGAGTTCTTGAGATTTCCAGGGGATTCACAAGAATCTCTCCATTCAATGAGGCTCCACCTCCTTTTCCTATGCTAATCTAATAGAGATTAACTCAGATGTTCATCTTTCCAGGATTCATTTTAACTCATCCCTTCTTTCTTTCCACAGTTCAACCACACTGGACAGGGAAGCATTTGCAGCCAGGCAATAATGCTCATTACTGATGGGGCTGTAGACACCTATGACACAATCTTTGCAAAGTATAATTGGCCAGAAAGGAAGGTAAGTCAATGCAGCAGGTCACACCATTACTTCTAAAAACTGACCAACAACTAAATTCTCTTATTTATAAACTTATTTCTGTGAGATAACCTTCTATGTAGGTCTAATCTTACAATGTTTTATGGTTTCTTATGTTGACTATTTCTGTTGCCTACAACCTAAGTTGTGAGACTCCAGCTATGTGAATGAAACCATTGAATTGAATTGAATTGAATAGATGGAAATTGAATCTAACAAATGGTAACTCAGGGGATACAGCATATTCTAGAAAGGGACTGCATAAAAAATAAGGGACTGTTATTGGGGAAAAGTAAAAACTTAGCTTTGTTGAACATAATTACTTTCTGAAAGATATCACCTAATCAGAATTGGATGCGCTCAGACTAGTTAAATCTCTGGGATATCAGCATAATAGACAGAATTCAGTCATCTACTGCCCAGTGTTAAAGCAAGCTTCTAATGAGAAATGAGAGCAAATAAATCCTTTGTTGATTGTTTTTCCTGTTGTCACTAGCTATTGGTCCAATACAGACAGCAAAGATGTATCATCTTGGAAAGCAAACTTAGCCTTTTGAACTCCCTGGGTTGGGATTTTGGAGAACCACACAGGCTGATGACAGCGACTCAATAAAACATGCCACTATGAGTTGTGCTGCAGCTCATACCATGGGTCTGGCTAAAACCAGTTAATCACACTCTTTAGTTCTATGCCTAGTCTGTCTGTGGCCACAGGGACGACTCTGCTCTGGGATGGTGACCTTGGTGGCTCTCTGTAAAGCTTCCTGTTTTCTACTGAGCCTTTATGATTCTCACTTGTGCTGGCCCAGGATTCCTGACTCCCTCAGATTGGTGTGCCTACTGCCGTTTTAGAAGTCCACTGTAATGGTACATTGTTTGAAATGAGATCTCAAAGCATCATTTCAGTGGTTTGTGCCTCTTCTTGCTCATAGCTACACCACTAAAGTATTGGCTAACAACACACTTCTGCTAGGGCAATTGCCACCCCTTGGTTATTCCTGTGGGTTTATAACACAAGATAATAGGATCACAGAGCTTGAGCTGGAAGGGACCACGGAAGCCACATAGTCTTGAGGCCCAGAGAAGATAAATGACTTGTCTAACATCCCACACAGGATTGTAGATTTAGGGCTAGATGGAACCTCAGAATGCCATCTAGTCCACCATTTAATTTTCAAGATGCACGAATAGAGGCCCAGAAAGGTTAATGAAATAACTGATTAGTGTTATACAATGACACAGTCAGGGTGTGAATCCATGCCATCTGACTCCAAATCCAGAGGTTCTGCTTCTCTGTGCTGCCTCGTCCATTATGGTATTTTTATTCAATCCACATATCTTTACTTTCATCTTTAGTTGGTATTTCTAGTGGCTCTCTTCTGTCCTTCGTGCTTTACTAATTAGCTTAGAAGCTATTTGAGGACAGGGACCTTGGTATATCCTCTGTATCCCCACAGCACTCTGTACAGGGCTAGACCCATTGCAGTTACTCAGTATAGGCTTACTGAATATTTGCATGAGTGAATTAACAAGCATATATGGCTAGCAGAACTAGGAAATGACATCAGTAAATATGGGCAGAAATACTCATGGTGTAGTGAAGAGAATTCTGAGCTTGGGACAGGAAGATGTGGGTTCAAATACTCTTCTGTCAGTTAGACAAGTTGATAAAATGTAGAACTTGGAGTCAGGAAGACCTGAATTTGAATCCTGTCCAGATACTAGGCAAGTCACTTAGCCTTCTGAGACCTGGGCATTTAGAGCCTGAGCCTGGAATTTATTTATTAGGTAAGTCATTGTTCTCTGTACTGGTAGACAGAGTTCCCATACTGGATCTTTTACATGTATAACTTGATTTTTTTTCCAAACATTACAATGAATTACAATGAAATGACTACTAGTGCATGTGCAGAGCCTTTAAGAGGTTGATTGATCTCTTCACACTGACTACTCCTTGTGGGTGGATGTCCTACACAGTGCCATGTAAATCCCAGTCACAGGGATGTGCTTGGTGAGGAGCAGTTATCTAAAAATGTTGGTGTTTTGGAGCTCCTATCCTTCCTTGGAGGAATCAGCTAAGGGCAGGACCATCCTTCTTTAGTGAAACTCCAAAGGCAGCCTTCTCTCTGTAGATGAACTTTATTGACTTCATGCCAGTTACTTTCATGGATTAATTGTATCCAGGACCCTGCAAGCATCAGCATTCCATGAAATGTGGCTTCATCATCTTTTTTCTTTCGGAGTGGCGCCAATGAGCCATAGAGTCTATTTCTATAGCAAGAGGGCATTTTGAGGAGGTGATAAATTTAGAGGTACCTCTGGCTGCCACTGAAGGAAAGAAGAGAGGAAGGAAACAATCTGTTAAGTGCCTGCTATGTGTTAGACATCGTGCAGAAATCTTGATATATGTTATCACATTTGACCCGCATACTAATCGTACGAGCTAGGTGCTGTTATTATCTCCATTTTACAGTTGAGGGAATTGATTCAAACAGGGGTTAAGTGACATGCCCAGGGTTACCCCATTAGTAAATATCTGAATCAGAATTTGAACTCAAGTCCCCTTCATTCCTGTCTCTGGTGTTGACTCCCTTTGCCTCACTGTCCTCATCTGAAAGATGAGAGGGTTGGACTAGACAGTCTCTAACATCTGTTCAAGCTCTAAATTTCATCAGCCTGCTTTGGGGCTCAGGGCATTTTCCATTACTCCAAGTAACTGCCTCCTACCCTGGCTCAGGAGCCTCATCACCTTTAAAGTCCCTTCCAGTTCCAAACCAAATGCCCTCTGAAATTGTAACATCCTTCTCAGACTTAAAATAGTCTCCTTGCTACTCAGTCTTTCTCTATGCAGTTATTGGAATAATTGTCCTAAAAAATATGTCTGACCCTGTCACTCCCTTACTCATCAGCCTTCACTGGCTCCCAATTGCTTCAAGGATAAAGTGTAAGCATGTCTGTTGGGTACTTAAAGCCCTTCACCACCTGGTTCCAACTTATCTTTCTAAACTTATTTCACATAACTCCCTTCCTATACTCTATCCTCTAGCAAAATTGCCTTCCTAGTAGCTTGTCAAGCTTGCCTTTCCATCAATTATCTTTAGGGTTATTGTCTCTCCTGCCTGTAATTCACTCCCTCCTTATTTCCTTTTCTTATAATTATTAGTGTCCTTGAATATTCATACCTACAGACATGTTTCTTGTGTTAGCTTTTTTTTTTTCTGATATCCTCAGATGTTAATGCTTCTTCCCTGCTTAAGGATCACGGAGTCATAGATTTAGAACTGGAAGCTGGAAAGATAATTCCTCTCTCCTTATTTTATAAATGATGAAACTGAAGCACAGGACATTTGTGACTTATTCAAGGTCACACAATTAGTAAATGGCAGGGATGAGATTTGAACTCAGGTCCACAATCCCAAACCCAGAATTATAAAGTTTAATTGATGCATCTTTTGAAGAGTCTAAAAAGATCTGAGTCTTGTGGGGCAGAAGGGTCAATGAGAAGAGAAACAAATACAACATTCAAAGTGAACTAATGAGCACCCAGGCAAGAGGAAGGTCAGAGACATAGAAGTTAGTCTGCAGCAAACTGTCTGGGAGATCCAAGGGACAAAGACAACACGTTATCTGAGGTCAGTTCAAAAAAACCTGGCATCCACTAAGATCTGAGAAAAAGCAAAGAAATCTATCTTCCACACTCATCATGGTAAGCATCCCTGTGTCCTTACAAGCCTGAGTTGGAGATGTGAACCTCGGTCTTGAGCTTCAGCCCTGGACAGCTCCTGGGTGCTGCCACTTTGCTCCAGCGGTAAACAGCTGTACTTGAGAATTCTAGAGTGCACGTAACCTTTCTTCTATACTCATTCCCTAGGAATAGCACATCAAATTCTTGTTGCCAATCATAAAAGGAGGTATAGAAACGGAGATAGGTTCAAAGAAGATTAACCAAGATTTTCAAAGGCAGAGACAGAGTGTTCTTTTGAGAGAAGTTTAAAGGGATTGAGGCTTGTTAGCTCAGTGGAGAAAGAATGTTGCATTATTTAACCAGGATTCTATGAAAGTAAAAATTCAGTCATTGCAGTGAGTTGTTCTTTGAGAGCATTTCATGTCTGGATGCATAAACCATGAGATGCCAGCCAGTGCCTTTATCATGTACTACCCAGTTATATCTAGTGACCTTACATGATAGCATCAGAGGGTCCCAGAATGCTGAACAACAAAGAGATCCCTGAAGGCTTCTAGCCCATGCCTTCCCCCTGACCAACACATAACTCTTCTTTATAGGGTTGCTAAAAAAAAAAGCCATTTGGTCTTCAGTGATTAATGAAGCCAGCAGGAGTTTAAAACCCACCTTATATTGAATACATGCTTGAACATTAAACAACTTCCTTTAATATCAATCTGAATGATGCAATTATCTAATAAGTTGACAAGCTTTTGGTAAGCACTTAGGAGATACCAGACACCATGTTAAAGACTGGATGTATAAATGGGCAAAAAAGGAGCTTTCAGAGGAGCTCATGATCCAATGGAGGAGATACTACCAACAACCATGTACTCCCACATATCTGCGGAGGAAATGGGAGGCAATACAGGGTAGATCACTTTATTTCTGTAAGCTGGGGATATTCCTGTTATCCCTACCTCACAAGGCTCTTGTGACACAGCAGATCTTGTCAAGTATCTTAAATCTTAATCTTAAAGTGTTTTAAAAAATGGAAGTTGTTGTTGCTACCATGGTTATAACTGCTGTCACTCCCTGCACAGGTAGTGAGAGGTCCCTTAAGTAGCTAGTGGGCCCAGACATGGTGCTGGATTCTCCAAGGAATCAAACCTGTTAAATATCTACAAGAAGAAAGGGCTCCAGGAAAATCACTTCTTTCTCTCTTTTTCTAGCCTTCCATTTCTCCTCCCCACCCCGGCCCCATCCCAGTACTAAACTCATTTCATATGGCAATGTAGCTCCTTGTCAGCAAGGCAAC